GGATGGCATGCATTGCCAACAGCAGCAGCTTGCCAGCCTCCCCCTAGACCTTGAAAAATGCTTCAAGCAACCAGAGCAAAAATGATGCCACTTTCAACTAGTCAGACTTAATTTACTTCATTATGCCATGAACTCTCTGATTTTTTTCCATTATCCACAGAGACTTCCAGGATGAGCTCACATCGTGTGGTAACCTTGAGCAACAAAACTGTGCTTCTGTAGTTTCCCGTAGCTTTTTTTTAAAAAAAAAAAAAAAAAAAAAAAGACAAACCAGCACAGATGGCACAAGGCTTCGAAAGGAAGGCGGACTACCAACCGCACTGAGCTGCAGGTTTCAGAGAGGTTTCACAAGTAGCTGAAAGGAGCTCACATGTGCAGTGAGAATGAGACAAGTAGTAGAAATAAAAGATAAACAACCAAAAAAAAAAAAAAATCCCCTTAAAGTCATTCAGGGGCTCTAGGGAGGAAGAGAAGGAGAAAGGAAAAAGCCCACAAGCCTATTTCCCATCCTTTCTTTAGATGACCTTTATATAGTATCTGACTGCAATAACACAGCCAGCAATGGCCCCTTCTTTTGTTTCATGGCTTTTGTAAATATGAGGTTCAAACAGTGGCTCTAAAAAGTCTTGGTTGCTGAGTTAGTGTGAAAAATATTCAGATGTTGTGCCCTCCCACTGGGTGTCCTTAAGTAAAGCTCCAGCTGATCTCAAAGATAATATTCTTTCACGCTATTTAAATATGAACACTATGACTTTTTCAAAGCATCTATCATTTTCATCAAAGCAAAGCTTCCTGACGCAACCCTGCCGTATAAACCTTGATTAGCAGCACAGTGTACTGAACCACCACCCGCACTCCACAAGCAGCCCAAAGCGGACGCGAGGGAAAAGCTCAGCTCTGCTGAGGACCATGATGAGCAGGTCAGGGCCTCTCCTCACAATATGCAAGGAGCAATGCTCCCAAACAGATACCGAACAAAATATCCTGAAGAATACCCTCATACCAGGAGACCACTGGGGAAATGTTAAAAAGTACTTCCTCTGGAGTAAGAACTAGGCCAGCGCATCTTATCAGTGAGGAAGTAGCTCTGTGCTGGTGGCAATGGCATCATTTTTAGGCTGGTGATCAGCACAAATAGTTGACTGCAGGTGAAAGACTTCTCTAATTCAGACGCACATAGTGGTCTGAAAGTTTTTGAGGGAAGAAGGGAGAGTTTGCTACAAAGACTTACCTGGAGACCGCTCAGACTGGTTTACGATCACTGAAAGTGAGGTGAGGAAAAAATGATCAACACTTCATTTATTTAAAACAAGAATATGACACGGGAGTCAGCTGCACAAAGTGAAGGTTGGGCCAAATTCCCACGTAAGGACACCGTGAACAGCGTCCAAGAATGAAGCCTGTTACAAGTTCAGGGAAAAAGAGAAGGTGTGGGTACACCACCAGGACTCACAGGGCCACTGCTGGGCAAGGCAGGGACAGGACTGCAGTACTTCGGCACAACCAGGGATGCAGCGCTTGAACAGGTAAAAACAGATCCTTCTGCTTCAGGGAAGGAAATCCCAGTATAAACTCAGAAGTGCCTGAATGTGACAACAGTACATGCAACTTCAAGCTCAAAACAACGTTAAAAACTATCTATTTCCAAATTAACCAAAAAAAAAAAAGAAAAAAAAAAAAAAAACACCTAGAAATTATACAAAAGAACCAAAAGCTGAAAACCTGAAATTAGTAGAGCCCAAACCACACGATTATCCACATAATTTCCTCCACTTACCAGTTCTTGCTTGTAAGCTGTATTTACTCACATACCAATAACGCCGCGAATACAAATCAGCACCTTTTCATCTCGATGAAAGGCAGGCACGTGAGGTTTTCAGCGACACCTTATCAACGTGGGCAGGGGGAAAGGAGAGAAATACACAGGGCTGGAAACATTTACGGGTCTCTACGAGTGAAGTAAGACAAAATAGAGGGAATCCAGCTGTAAACCAGACCGGATTTGCCACAAGCCCATGGTCAGCATCAGTGGTGCAGAAGCAGTTCAGAACAGACAGTATTATCTGCTAACAGATAGGTAACTACAAGGCCAAATGATGTAAGAATGTCATGGTCACCAAGCAAATCTCGACTGAAGGACAGTCTGAATGCTAGTATTTGAAAACCAGGAAGATCAGTAAATCCAGAGATTCCCTTTTCAGGTCTATTACATCTCGAAAGAAAAATTGAAACACATTCAGACGCCGAACACAGGAACAGGTATGTTTAGACAAGAACCAAAAAGAATTTAAATGGAGCCTTTTTTGAAGAAATACGCATCGCCACCAAATCATTCAACCCAGACTGGCAGCTGGTTCACAGCAACAGTAGATTTTACACCTTTTAACTACAGATTAAGCTAAGGGGTCCAAACCTACTCCTAGAACTGCTCATCTCCCAGATTCTGCAGAACAGAGATTAGGACAGGGTTTGACAACTCTTAGTATCGGTTTAGGAAGTCTGGCGATTATCAGCTGATGTCAGGAGTAAACTGGGATAGGGTACATTCCTCACTCTGCCCCCAGCAAGGCCCCTACGTGTTCTGTGTGAAATAAACTGAGAAAATAAAGTGGGGTTTCACTTTAAGCTTTTTCTAAACAGCTGACCCTATTTCTTTATACTCAGCTCCGCAAAGTAAATTCAAGTATATCCTGAGTCCAGCAATGTGCATCTTAGTCAATTATAGAGGCAAAATAAAGAACTGGATAAGCATGCCCCTTGCTCTCAGATGCTCGTGCCATCCCCTTTGCTTGGCACTGTTCCTCACAGGGAAAGGCAGCACGGTTCCCTGGTTTGGGTAAGCCTTAGGAGCAACCTTGTACAGAGCTAACGTTGCCATCGTGTGGTAACCTTGAGCAACAAAACTGCGCTTCTGTAGTTCCCCGCTTTTTTAAATTAAAAAAAAAAAAAAAAAAAAAAAGACAAACCAGCACAGATGGCACAAGGCTTCAAAAGGAAGGCAGACTACCAACCGCACTGAGCTGCAGGTTTCAGAGAGGTTTCACGAGTAGCTGAAAGGAGCCCGAGCTCTACTCACGCAGAGCGTGCTGTCAGACACAGCACAGGTACCAAAGACCAGTATATTCCCCTGTGCTGCTTCTCCCCTTTCCTCCAAACTGCAAAACCCCCCAGTGGTTTCCCAGAAGCGCTTGATAGCGGGCACGGCCTTTACAGAACCGAGTTTGCTTCTAAGGCAGGTTACACTCTCTGCCCCTAACAGCCCCTTAACCTTCAAAGGCCGCTGCCCCCCAGCGCACCCCTCGCCCCAAGCACGGTCTGTACCCTTAGGAGGCTCCTGCTCAGGAGAATGGCAGCTCATTACGGCACAATTCCCGTCACGGAAACGTTCCCCGTACCCCAGCAGCTGGCGGGTACTACTGCTGGGAATGAGAACACGGGGGAAACTGCTGCAGTCACAGCCAAAGCTATTATTTCGAAGCAAGCACCTTTAAAAGTGAGAAAATAATGTAGGAATAGCATTTGTGAGCTCATTGATTGAAGGCACATGTATTTTCTCTACGCGCACTTTTACCAAATTTTCCCCAGTCTTATGTGACTGAGCTTAACAGTAGCACATAAAAAACCCCAAACCCCAAGGAACAACTGTATCACCTTAGGGGACCTCCAGGTTGATATACCTGAATTGCTTTTCAAGTTAAAAGTTTCAGCATAGGTGGATTTAATCACTTAAAAATCCAGTTTAAAATCAAGAACTCCAGATGCTTGAACATGGGTTTTAATCCTAAATTGCATTATTTCTGATTTTTTTTTTCTTCTTAGCTGTTATATCCATTCATATCAACCATGTGCTTGAACTCAATTTCCAAGGGCAGATTAACTCGAGACAACATGGCACAGTCTTGGGTGAGCATGCAGATGCCCAGTTCTGGCTGAAGTAAGTACCACCAGCCATGCAGCTACTCCAAAAGCACACATTTGTAAAAGCACATGCTTACCAGTGTATTTGAGGATGTACATTTGAATATCTATTTGACAATATATTTAAAAGTCTTACAACCTTCATTTTTAAAACTATATATTCTCCCTGCTCCATTTTATATTTGACTGTAAAAATAATTTGCCTTTCAATTGCTAAATATTTTCATTCAATATGAAGAAAATCTAGCCCCTGGCAACAAACTACACAGGAGAAAACATAGGATATGCAAACACTATTTTATAGTGCAAAGACTAAATCTAGCAGTTCATTTTTTTCAGAGGAATTGAGAAATTTTTTGGCCATGGCCCCTTTTACTTAATAGTCTTGATTAAAAAGCAGGAATTACATGCTGCATAGTTTGAGCTACTGTAATTAGGCTCAAGGTCTTGACATAACTTAACATTCCAAAAAGCAAGCAGGTTTAAAGGCAAGTCACCAGTTTCCATCTTGCTACTATGTCACTAATTATTGTAACTGTGCTTGCAGGACAACTGTGGTGTTAGACCTGTGAAGTATTCCAGGTCACTAAAAGAATGGTGGAAGGTTTTTTTAGAAAATGGAGCAATTTAAAGCATCCGAACAGCAATTTCAGTCTTTCAAACAGTGATATTCTAACCAGAACACATACTTTCGGTTTATACCTTAATTTATATAGAAAAAGTAGTGTAATTGGTTATTTTTCATCTTTCACACTCAAGACTGTGCAAGTAATTTTGTTCATTCCCAACCATTTCAACAGCAGACTGCTTTCAAATGTCAGGATCCGACCTACTTCAAGTAACTGGGTATGCAACTATTTCAACTGGCACTGGGTATGGGCATGGTCTGCTTCACAGACCGACTGTGACAGAAACATTTCTGGGTGCTCCTGGGAAACTACTAGAGCCCAACACTTGGACCTTAATAAACGAGACAGACAACAATTCTTGGTCAGAAGCAGAAGTGAACTTATGATTACAATTTAAATCAGATATTTAACCATTTGTTAATTTTAAAGAATCGGAGCAAGGACACAAAGTCATACGTAACTAGAAGTTCATTTTATTTCTGCGCCTTCTGTGCTTTCTTCACCTTCTCGGACTTAGGTGCCTTCTCGGACTTCTCTGACTTTTCTGGCTTCTTGGCTTTTTTAGAAGACATCTTCTGGAGCTTCTTCATCTCATGCTTGATGATCCTGTTTCTCTGTAAAAAAATAAAATGTTTATTATTCATCAGAATTAAAACAGCAACAGCTGTTATGCTTTAAATTCTAAGCTTTCAGATTCTGCTCTTTTTGATAATCACCTTTTCCTAACCAATTATATTTATATAGTCAAAATATTTACCACGTATTCTGCTTAAAATGTCAAATTCCACCTAAAACTGTTCTGATCTACCAAGGGGACAACGTCATTCTGGCTGGTAGCTTGGGCTCCCCAGTATTTCACATATAATGATTTTCATTATAGAATGAAATATCAACAGCAACTCATCAGGAATATCTGATTTCATCAGCAGGTAATTCCTTCCTCAGCTGTAACTTGGAGGACTGACACACAGATCACGTGGGTTCAAGTTTGCTCAACTCCTGATGAGAAAGTAGTGGCCAAAGAAGCATGAAAAATTCAAGACATTCACGTACTTTGTGTCACCCCATAAACCAAGCCAGATATAAAAGTAAGGCTACAAACATCTGTATGTGACTAAAGCAAAAGCTAGAAGCATCAACTCCAGAAAGAAGTGACACTCAAACACTTACCATTTTCTTTGCTTTCATAACCTTGTAGCGATCAAAGTCGGTCATTTTGGCTTTCTGTTTGAAAAGAATCAGTCATGAAGCTCTGATATACATATATATATATATACACACACACACAAGTAGTAAAACTCGGTGTTTCAAAGCATTCCACAAGTAACTGACCACCTATAAATTAGGTTTAGCTGCACATGTGGAACTAGTTCACTACTTAAGGCCTTTGCTTGGAACTGACTGTGCAGGAAAAAAGGTGGGTATAGAAATGACTGAAGAAAATCATATTTACTGTTAAAATACAAGAAGTTGAAGCTTATTGGTAGCAACTTTTAAAAATCTATGCTTTATCTATCTTTAATCTTAGCCTGCAATTGAAAACAGTTTATTAGATTACACCTAATTTTAATAAGCAGCAGCAGTATAAAGTATATTACTCATCCAGTGAAGAGCTGTACCTTTTCTCGAGCTTCAATCTTCTTTGCCCATCTTGTTGCTGCCCATTTTTCATTTATATTTTCCTTCTGCCAGGCAAGTCGGACACACTTCTGACGAGCACTACATTAGAAAAATCACAAAATTATATTCACAGTCTTTATAAAAAAAAGATTCTCTCTGATGCTGGCCCATTGAATTTCATACAAGGGAAGATCACCCTTCTACATTACTTCAGACCCTTTAAGTCAATGCCACATCCATCTCTGCAGTCTAATTAACATTTTGTTGTGCAAATGCTTTGCTAGGACTGATGGATGAGCAACGCCGAGATGCATCCTCATACACTACTCCCAACACTGCTTCAGAATCAGAAAGGCAGCAATTTTTATTTTTAAGTTACAGAAACTCATATACTAACTAAGCTCAAGAGAACAGAATGAGCTCAGCCTCCTGCCATTCCAGTGTAGTTCTGTAGGCAGGGAACGTGTTTCATGTCCGAAGGCAACCTAAGCGGTAGCAAAATCAAAGCTGCACAGTATTTACTGCAACTGCTTCCCTCCACACCCACCACCCCACAACAGTCTGCAAGTTGCATAGGCCAGCATGCTATTTCCTTTGCTCCTCAACAGCAGTTATCAGCCAACATCGGTAACGGAAACTTAAATGTATTCAGTTATAATAACATGGTCTGCTGAATTTTTACTGTGCACACATGTTAATCCATTGACTTAATGCTGTATGAATTTTCTAGATTTAGCAAGCATCAGATCACATAGTTCAGTTGTGAAGTGACAGTATGGTTTTTTACAGAGGTCAAAAAAATGCCAACAACTCACCTGTGTGGGAACTTGAGAACAAAGTCAGTTAGCTGCATGCACTTGAAGGGCATAGCCTGCCTTCTGACACCACTGCAGGGGCCATCAACTAGTGCCTGAAAAAGAAAAACGCGGGAGTTTTATCGCAGTTCTGCCATTATACCTGAATTAGACAACAGCTTCCTAATAATGTATGAACAGCCTCTTTACAACAGTGGTCCAAAATTGAAACAAACGTTATGCGGACAAGACCCAAGATTGTTACGTCTTGCATATACAGCCCAAGTTTTACAAAAAGAATTTTAAAAGCCCGCCTTTGTCTTCAGGAAAAAAAACAAACTGAACTTTCAAAAAAGTACACAGAACTAGGATGACATACTTCCAACTTTTTTTTTCCAGCTTTTTCAGGAATGTCAAGTGAAAAAGCCTCCTAGCCCAAACATTTAACATACATTAATTCCATTCATAAGTTTCAGACTCCAACTGACACCATTTGTCCACTTCTACTCCTAGGAAGTATAGCAGAGAAGGGAACATATCACTTGCCAGTGGAAACAGCTTTCAAACAGAACAACAGCTGTTAAACCCCATCTTTTTGTCAACTGCTTATTTCTTTTGAAAAAAAATCTACTCGCAGAAAATTTCCTTTAAAATCGGTACACCTCTGCCTTAGTGCACAAGCTTCTATGAAAGCAGAAAGGGGAAAACAGAGGTACAGCACCCACAGCTTACCCTGTTTTGGTCAATAACATCCACAATGGCCACCAGCTTGCCAGCATGCGGCCCGAAGGAAATGAAGGCAACTCTGCCGATCTCGACGAAGCGTTTGAACACCTGGGAGCGGCAGAAGTTGACAGGAGTGAGGCGAGGCTACACCCAAGGCCGCCGCTAGACTCAAGGCTCTCACAGCCTTTCAAGCAGCTTCCCAAGCTTCCGAACGGCGCTAAAGCCCTTCGCGTGAGGAGAAAGGCCCCGCGGAAATGCCCTCAGCTACTTTCCCGCCGGCCGCGGCCCCGCGTGGAGGCGGCGGGCAGGCGGAGGAAGGGGCGCCGGGCAGCAGCGAGCCGGCCCCGCGGGCCGCAAGGAGCCGGGGCCGGGCGCTGCCCTCACGGACGGCCCGGCCCAGCCCGGCCCGGTCCGGCCCGGTCCGGCCCGACCCGGCCGAGGAGTCGGCGGCCCTGCTCTTCTCCCCCCCCGCCGCCCGGCTGTCCCCCGCTCCCCCCCCGGAGGAGGCCGCAACGGCCACACGCACCATGATGGCCGCCCGCGAGCAGAAAGGGAGGGGGCGGTGCCGGCGGCGCCCGGAAACCGCCTGCCAGCCGCGACTGCGCATGCGCGGGGGGGGCGGGGCCCCACGCGTGCTGCATTCCCCGGGCGGAGGGCGCGCGTGCGCGGCGAGGGGGGGTGGTGGCTGCTGTAGCGCATGCGCGGTGCCGTCCCGCGCTGTGGGTGCTACCCGGAGGTGGGCCCGCTCTGTTCCGTTAGCCCGCGGCCGCTCCTCCCGGGTCGGGGGGGGTGGTGGTCAGGGCAGCCTGAGGCAACGTCTTAAAATTTGTCCCCCCTCCTGGAAAGGCACGACATTTTAACGAGTGGATGGGTGGAAGATACCTCAGGATCGCGCGTGGGCTTTCATACCACAGCGCAGAACTAATTTGGAAGAGCAGGGCGGCGGTAGGGAAGGCAGCACTGGGAAAACAGCGGAACCGAAGCGAAATGAGCTGGGGAAGGCGGCTCGGGCCCGGCTTTTAGAGAGGGTGAAACCAGCACCCTGATTCGGCTCAGGAGGTGATGCTGCCTGAGGGTGAAAAGTTGGGTTAAAAAAGCAAACAAAAGGGACATTTGATGGACTCTGCGTTCCACGCAGTGCAGCACTGAGGGGCAGGCAGCACTGACACCTGTGAACTAAAATTACTAGAAAACAGGTATTTGTAGAATAGAATTATTAAAATCAGCTTAAGCTGTTTTAAGCATTGCGCTGCAGGCGGGACCAAACAAACGCTAATCTTCTGCGGAATAGAGTAACTGTAGGATAAGGAACTCGTAAATAATCTTACTTGAGACAGTTCCACCTTGTAGTAGCAGGTGCAGAGAAACATAAGGAAGCTGCAAGCTTGCAGCAAACCCAGGGCAAGCCAGCCTCCAGGGACAAGATCTACGTGACCACAGGACTGAGTTTGCACAGAAGCAAGGGTCAGCTGGTGCACACAGTGAAGAGGACTACGAGCCTTCATCTGAAGACCCCCAATGACCACCTGAAGTCTCCAACAGACACGTGCAAGAGATATTAACACATGCTAAATGAGTTCCCAGAAATGTTACAAATATGATAAAAATGGAACGAATATGTATGATTATGGTAGCATAAACGTTTGTTAATTTTTCCACGCACACAGTAGGAGGAGCTATCCCCCGTGTGTCTGGCGCTGTAATAAGGAGTACCTGCTTTCGAAAACTCCAAACTTGAGTCTTAGTGAATTAATGACAGCTTTTGGGTGACGGCACTCTGTGCAGAAGGCGAGTGCCGGGCCTGTGCTGCTGTCGGCAAGTCGCTTCTCCCACACGTGGTGGGACCCTCAGGGCACGGCAGGAAAGCTCCGTGGGTGGCTTTGATGGACAAACATCAAGACGCTGACATGCGGGCCGATGGCGTTTGGCAGGATTTTCACTCATGTAAACGTCAGCCAAAATACTACGAGGAGGAGAGCTTTCAGAGTAGGAAAGTGTAAGCACAGCGTACTGCCGAGCACGGCTGGGACACGGGTCTGACCTTCATCCTGGCTCGGCTGTCAGCAGTGGAATGAAACGTCCCAATGTGGCTGTCTGAAGCACAGCGTTTATTGTTTGTACAGTTTTGCTTTTATAATGAAAGAGAGCAAGTAAAAGATGTACTGAAGCAGTTTTAAATGGTGCAGATATTTTATGCAAGTGCCTAGGGAATGGATCATGAACATGTAAATGAGCACTTAACTCCCTCAGGTATTTTTCAAAGTCCCATCCAGAATACCATTATAGCAGTATTATTTTACTGTGCTTTACAACAGTAAAATATTAATACATGTATTAAATCAGTTATTTTTAAGCAACATGTTCTAGGTCAAGTCAGTAGATGATGACTTTTTGATTTTTCCATTTTGCAGTAAATTGGAAAAAGAGTATTTTTCATTTTCTTCATTTGATCGAGCATTACTCTCCAGGAATTCCTCCTTCAGAGGAAGGAAGGGAAGTTACCCAAAATCTTGGTCTTTTTCATGATCTTTGCATGTTTTATGGCAGAGATACTCAAATGTCACTCGTGACTGCATTGATGTCTCCCTGAGTATATGAGGGTTGCATCTCTTCAACATAACTAACTTCCATGCATGCATTTCTGCATCTGTCAATATCATGAACAAGTCCTAGCAAGTGTTGGTGTCTCTGAGAGTGTTTAAAAGTAGTTCATGTCTGTTGCATATATATACAGAAAAAAAAAAAAAAAAAAAACCAACAGGGTGGCAGCTTGGTTTTAATCACCAGAGTTTCCTTGCGGATAATATGGATTCTGGAGGTAATGAGGAGTGTCCAACTCCAGAATCTCACAGATCAGTTTTGCAGCATGCAAATTTCCATCCCCCAGAAAAGCATTTCAGAGATTTCCTATCCCTCTAATAACTTGTCTACCAGGATGAAAATACTGGCATTGGGCAAGTAAAAAATGAGAAGTACACTTGGCTTAGCTTTCCACCGCTCAAGTTTATTACTCTTCATAAGCAGGCAGCAAAGAGTATAAAAAGAGAAATAACCTATAGTTTCGTACACATTCCTGAATGCTGTTCACTACACTACCTCTCCCTGAGGTCTGGTCAGTTCTAGATGACAGGACAATTTAGCTACGGTTACGGAAGCCATTACCATCCCCACTGCCTCCCCTCCAGGAGCAACCACTGCAGGCAGGGTGCTGGAATGGAAGAAGCTGTAAATGGTGGAGCTGCCAGGCAGGAAGTTCAGTAGTTCCAGCTTTTCCAGCTGAAAGTGATGGAAGAGGTAAGACTGAGTAGGTGGGTATTGTCCTAGTGATACAGGAGGAAGATTATATACATTGGGAGAAGGGGGAACTACTGAAAAAGGAAAATAGAAGGTGATTCACGGAGGGAAGGCATTCTTTGAACAGATGCTGGCTCAATACAAGTACATCTGGAAGTCCAAATGGTTTTTGAACAAATTTACTTGCTCTTTAGCTGACAACTCTAAGGGGAATAACTTCCAAGCATGTTCCGTTTGTGCAAAACCACACCTGAATGGCCCTGCCATTCACAAGCAAAGCAAAGCAAAGGTTTTGTATGGCAAGTAAATACCCCAGAATAGAATTTTCAGCAGAAATTTAACAGCTGAAGAAAACATTTTAATGGTGTCACCCAACTATCTTTTTTACCCTTAGCTGCATTCCCAGATCAATCACACAAAATAAGGTAAGGCTTTTATCTCATGCCATACTCTGCAATGTCCCATGCGTTCTGAAGTCAAGTCTGTGCTTTATCAGATGTAACTTGGGTGCCACAGAACACTTCTTTGTCTTGTAATACCTTCTGCCTTATTTTAAGTACTGCTACTTCAGTAAGACTGATAGGACATAGCAGTATACCAACAGAGAAGGGTCAAAGTACTCACTGCTGCTCTTCTTGAAAAATCGCTTTTTTTTCTTTTTTTCACTTAAAAAGATTTAGTTCCTTTCAAATCATCTATTAGCCTGTGAAAAACAAAAGAAAACAAAACCCTAACCCTATAACCCAACCTGAAAGTAAGAAGGTGATATGGAAACGGGAGACAGAGATTTAAAATATTCATGGGTAAAAACACTGGCCACTGTTCTCCTGTCTCACAACCTAATCAATATGGGGGATATATGAAGTTGGGATAGAAAACACATTATGTGCCGTTGGAATTCATAATCCGATGTTAACTTGGCTTTTCAGTCAACAAGTAGATCTCTTAGGTGCAACACACCTGTGTGGAAACAACTACTCAGGCAGCCTCACAGGCTTTAGCTTCTTAGCAATAGATGTTGAATATGGTGATCTCCCTTCTAGCTTTTTACTTTCTCATGCTGAAATGAGTAACCATCCCTTCCGAGAGGAAGGACGCAAGCAAGGGAAACTACACACAGGGAAGCAAACCTGAGAAGATGGAGAGGGAGGAATGTATTAAAGTGATTGGCAGCAGCTAGTTGTAGGACATTTGGGCAAAGGTGGAGCTCCATGTAGGTACTGAATCTGGGCGAAAGAAGATGGTAGATGGGGAAGAGGGAAGTGAAGCAGAGATGCTCTTTTTCCTCTTGCAGGTCCTGAAGAGCACAATCCCTTCTTCCTGCTAACTCCAAGGCCCGTCAGAGGTATTCCCCTTGCAGCTTCACAGATCATGTTACGGCAGTATTAAGAGGCATTAACAGAAACAGTGTACAAAGGGAAGAGAGGGCAGATGGTGGCAGGAGGCTTTTTCAAGGGTTTTTTCAGAAGCCAGCTGAAGAAGACCAAAGATATACAAAAGACAGGCAGGTAAAAGGGGCACAGACCATGAAGAACTCCTTGAGCAGTGGGTAAAATTGCAGTCCTGTAGTTAAAGGGAATACGACGTTGGTGAAGAATGCCTGGGCTTTCAAGGAAGTCAGCTCTTTGAAGCATGAAGGCAGCAGCACTTCCAGGAAAGCTCTGGAGTTAATGCATTGGACAGAAACATCTGCTAGGTAGATCCCAGTGCTGCTGAAGGAACAGAGGCCAGGACAGCACTCCAGCCACGATTGCAGCTCCGGCAATGTGTTCCCGAAGCCCCTACAGAAAAGGGTGTTCTGCTGGCCTGCAGATGGGCTCCTGGTCCTCTTGGCCTTGAAGTAAAGGCTTAACATGTTAGTGCTACAGAAGGTCCCAGGTCTGAGACTCTATCCAGACAGTTGAAATAATATATCCATGACAAGTCAGTACTGACTGCAACTGTCTGAGATCAACAATATGTGGGGAACACAGGCCAGTGTTTCAGTATGAGAACCCACAAAAAGTATTTCTGTGAAAGTTAGAGAAAAGGACACTGAAAACTCTAGTGGCTTCTGGCAGTTTATTACACCTTTATGTGGTGGGGATCAATCAGTTTGGAACAGCAATAAAAACAATTCTATCCCAGCTGTTCCTTTCAGTTCCTGGCATTACCCAGTGCTTGTTCCAGTTTCAGAAATTAGGTTATTTGCAGGCTTTTAGTGTCAGCACTGCACACAAGAACAGCTACCATCTTCCCAACTCCCACAACTCCTATTGACTTGTTTAATTTTATCTTAGACAACTGTCACCATGATCAAATCCATCACCACTTGAGTTTACCAGTTAGTGCAGAGTTAATGCACAAAAAGAAAATAATACATACCTGGCAGGAAAAGGCTATTAATCCCTTATTGAGCAAAGTGACACATCTGCCCATGTTTGCTCTGCTGCACACTGGTTTTACAGAAAAAACTGGTTTTACAGAAACAATTACCAAAATATTTCAAAAGCACTCCAGTTCACCATATCAAAGATTCCTTTGTGTCTCTTCTCTTTTTATGCTTCTGGTCCTGACGTCTTTTTGCCTGTCTTTATTTCACCTTCCATTTTTCAAAAATGAAGCCCTACTTAATAGCACTATAAAATTTTTGATTTGTCTTCAGTAAAGTTCATTCATTCTGGAATAAATACATGTTCAACACGACTGATGTTCTTCTGATTACGTGATATAATACACAAGTAAACAAGGAAGAGAAGACACAACAATGCCGTAGCTGTGAGGAAGATGAGGAGCCCAGCAAACAAAGAAGGTTTCAGAGGTAATTGGATCAGCTTGCCTTCTGCTGGAATCATGTTCGTGAGGCTTAACATGTAACCGAGTGACCATGCTATACTGCTGTTCCCGACCTGAAATAAAGACAGAAGAATCCTATTCCCATGGACTTCTCAGTCAAAGAAAAATGTTCCAAAAGTTCAACTACTGATGCTGACAACTGCCTTTTAAGTTAGCAAGGAGAAAACTTCCATGTAGTATACAAAGAAGATACAGAATCATTTTAAATTACCCTTTTTTTGTAGTTCCAGAAGATGCTAATAAAATTGGTCACTAAATTGGGCTAAAGAAGTGAGAAACAGATATTAGATAGATGGGTAGGGATGTGTGGTATATATGCAGACAGCCAGTTAGTGGATTTCTGTGCAAGAAACACACTTTAAAAAAAAAAAAAAAAAAAAAAAAAATCAGCACTAGTGTGCTAATTCCTAGAATTAACCTCTTATTTTAGCCAAATTCTAGAATGTTGTTCAGTTCAAGCAAACAAAAAACCCCACAAAGAGTCCCACCAACACGGACAAAGAGGAGGCCAGGGTAAAGCCCACAAAGCAGGAACTCTGTTCATCATCTTTTGTTCCATGGTTGTTTTTTTGCCTGCAAATGAACCAGCACTAGGCTCTTCCATTTAAAAACAGTGGGAAACTACTTAGGAATAGGTGAAACAAAAGCACAGGGGGTACATTTGTATCTGCTCCATGGTCCTCATGCTTTGCTGTCTTTCCCCACTTCTAACATGAGCAACAGAATTTGTCAATTTTCCACTGTCTTCGTCATCAAATCTTCATCCTGCCACTTGACAAGCACAAGATCAAAGGATGAAGATAGTGTCTCTTGTCCTCCTCCCACATGCCCAGACTCCAATAGTGGTTCGCCTATTTATATAATACACATAAGTACCTGTCACTATCTCCTACAAATCAAACCACAACTTTAAAAAACAATTTCAAAATCTATTATTGAACAGCATGAAAAAATAAGGGGCAGGGATGCATTTCAAGAGAAATCGGTAGAACTCATTAAAACAAGGGCTAGCCTAGAAGACCAGCTAAAAGCTATGTATTTGTTTTACACTATAGCATAAGTTGCTTTCTCTTCCAAAGGGCCTGAGCCATCTTCAAATCAGTCCAGGTAGTTCTAGGACAGGCAAAGCTGAAGCTGTGCTCTTCTACAACCAAACAGCTCTCCCAAACTCATCTGGCTTTCCATCTTTATTACAGGTCATCCCACTCTGTAAGCACAGAGATGAGTTTGCCTGAAAGGCTGCCCATAAGTAATTTGCTTAAATTAGCAAATTTAGGAAAAGTTAGCGAAGTTAGGAAACCAAAGCTCTTTGGTTATTCTTGTATAAAAAGCATCATGATGAGAAGTTGAAGGATGAACTTTAATAAATGATTTAATGTCTTTAATGAACAGTTTTAAGCAGTCAGCTACTGGTTGTAGGAGACCATAAGAGCCTATAAATACTTGGTCCTTTTTGTAGTTGTGTATAACCTAGTATCTTTTGTTTAACTGATAAAGCTACAACAGGAACTGGAATGCAACAGGTGAGCAAAGAGGCAAGATGGATCAAGGTGGTTTTTCATTGCTGAGAGAAGGGAAAAACTCTCATTTTGAGGTTTAGAACTTTTGCAAATCATCTAACTCTAAATCCTGCCCACTTCTTAGCATTGGCTTAAGGTTCTTTTTGTTGGTTCTGTTCACTAATTGAAAGGAAATATACTCCTAGCATAGGCAAAAAGAACACCTTCCACTCTTGGAGAAACTGTGCTGTTATCTCTGGGGCAGCTTAGCCAATCAATTAACATTAGATCTTATTATTTTAGTAGGGGCAGATCTGACTAAGAGAATGTGGTTTTTCCTTCTGGCATTTCATGATTACCCTAGTGGAAAATCTAGGTAACAAAGGTGTTCATTTCAAATAAGCCTTTTGTTTGTTTGGGGTTTTTTGTCAGTATTTTTATAGTCTTGGATAAATACAGAAAAAAGTTTCTGTGTTTGGCTGCTCCCATCTGCTAGGGACAATACAAGATACACTTAAATACTGAGACAAATCCATCCCCTGCCAGGCCCAGATTAACATCCCAAAGCAAGCTCTGCTGACTTCTCGGTAGAAGAGCTAAACTGTGGACAGTCGTCCAGAACTGCTAATGGTTGGTCACCAGAGGACAAAATAAGGCAAGAAAATCCTGCTTGATTCCTTAGTGCACCAGTAATAGATACGGCTGTTCAGTAAACATTGCTTACGATTTCTGATTCACAGCTTGCCAGCATACCCTGCATTTAAGAATACTCCATGAAGACCTACAACCTATTCTTTTGTTGGCTTTGCATGCACGTGCTGAAGCATTTCCAAACTGTAGAGATTTTAAGAGACAGTTTGGGACAAGGTTTTAGAATAACGCTCTGTACAGTAGCAGAGAGGGAAGGATGGAGTCACAGAGCACTGCAGGGACCACACTTTTTGATGTAACAGCCAAACTTAGATAATTGCCATGCCTTCTGATTTGGAAGCAAAGATTTCTTAGCAGTAGCTTTAGAAAGGATATATGCAAGTTTGTTCCAAGTATTCTGCCTTTTAGGAGAAAAACTAAGGTCAAGGAAGAGAGAAATGCAGCTATTGCACAAACATTGTAAGCCCTCTCTGCCAACTGAAAGCCAGTACCCCATCAGTATATATTCTTATTGCAGAGAACCAGATTATGGCACAGGTGGATATGCCAGCAGAGGATGAAAACTGCCCTAGTTGCTTCATCACCACCCACTGACTACAAACCAGTTCTGCTGGTTCCCCCAAGGTTCTGGCAGTGGACAGAAAAGTGGGAGTTCTGTCCACCTCAGCAGAGTTACCTCAAACTGACCTTGACCAGCAGGGTGTTTCAGGCAGGTCACTGCCTCGAGCAAGCCACTGCTTCAACAATCTGGGGCAAGGTTTAAAACACCATTATTTGATCCTTTCTTAAAGCCCTTTTAAACAATCTAGGAAGCACCTCCAAGTAATGCTGCAACCCCTGGACTGAAATTGCTACTGAGGCTTGAAAAGTGGCTGTGTCTTATACCAAACATTTGACAGTCATTTACAAAAGCTGTTTACAACCATTATATTTTTGTAGGCTGCTGCATCTTCTGTCTCCTTCAAAACTTCTTTGGATTAAAGTATCAGTAAGAGGAAATAATTATTACTCACCTCCTTTTGAAAATGTATCTGTGGCCACGCTTCTGCATCGAAGTTGTAACCATGTACAAGCAAGTAATAAATGAAACTGGCTGAAAAACAGTACGATCTAGCATATATTTCTTCAAATTTAGGCAGCATAAACTGGAGCTGAAAGCAAAAGGTTTTTTAAAAACATGTAAATTAGAAAGAACAAATTATTTTGTTGTTTATAACTAGAGAATACTTTGGATTCTAATTAGAATTTATCAGCATTTTTTCAGAGAAACCAAGTAAAGTTGTGGACAACTAGATATGGAGATTTAGAAAAAGAAAGACCCTGACAGTGATAGAGCTTTTGTGGTAAAAAATGAATATAAACATAAAACTGCACATAAAAGATGGAGGATGTTATGGTTCCTAAATTTTCCGTGTCATCTTTACAGCATGGTTAAACTGTGAAATGAAATTCTGAAACCTAACATGCTAGAAATACTAGATGGTTTGACGCACAGTGGGAAAGCAAATGTTGAGGCTGATACAGACCTTCTGAAAAGTTCTGAATACTTGCCCGGTCCATATTTTTTTGTATCTCCTTTTTACAGATACAAAACAAAAAAATTAAAAATTAAAAAAAAACAAACAAACAACCCACTCACCTGTGCCCAGCTCTGTGAACAGAAAAACCACATACTTGAATTGAAGTCAGCTAGGGAAAAGTGCTCAGATAAATTCAAAGCATTAATTGTATAGTAGAATCCTGAGAAAGCCTATAGAAAAGGAGTAGATGACAAGCCTGTTACTTTCAGAACTACAGAAATCAAAACAAGCAAGCTCAAAAAGAAATGCTGTGTTTGCAAACCTACCACAAAATTCCCTTTAACTTTTGGCTGATATATTCCATTAAACGGACAGTCTTCTCTGTCTCTGCAAGCAGTGAAGTTAAACAATAAAGAAACCATCTCCTGGCACAGACCTGGGTCTCCTGTTCCATGGAAGTTCACAAGCTGGTTTGGGTAGTAATTTGCTGGTCTCAGAGACTGTGTACAAAGGCTGCCAGAGAAGTACTTCATAGTTAATGCAGTACTGTAATTCTGAGGGTAGCATGGATTATCCACATTGGAACTCGTGTTTGATTTCTGGAAAAAAACAAACAAACAAAAAACCCCAAACAATAAAGGCTACTCAAAACAAGATAGATCTAATTTGACATTAACTATGGGAGTCTTTTTAAACCACATATGCATGTATTTTTGTCCTCTGTCACGTCTGATCAGTACAACATTGCTGATCACTGTAATACATAGAAACTACTTTCTCAAAAAATTATTGGCAAGATCAGCAAAACACTTACAGGACTAGTTGGGCCTTTCTGACAAATGGTACAAAACTCTCACCAATTTTTAACAAATATGAAGCTCTCTGTATGAATCCTCAGTGCATTTGTCCACAACTAAGCATGACAGAGCTCTTATTAGGGTCTCCAAACTCCACCAAAGGGAAGTGAACACAAACCTAAGAACCTGCTCAGACAGTTATTGAACACCTGCAAGAGCAACATAACAAAGGGTCTTAAACAGACCTGGAGCAGCAACGCTAAAAGCCTTTTCTCAGCTTCATCTCTCCCATAGCACTGGAAGCTGTGAGTGTAGACGTTGTAGTTGTAACCATACAACTTGACTTGCAAGGTGCTATTGAAGTTTTCCTGAGAGTCCTCTGACATAAATGAAATTTGAGTGGAAGCTCCTCCAAGATCCAGTGCACCCATAGTTTCTCTTCTGTAAGGATGGACCCATGTCCTCCAAAGGTTTCTCTACGTGTAAAAATAAAACCAAGGCTAATTAGAAATATCATCTGCTGGTTCTCCCTTCAAGCTTTTCTACTCTTTACTTAACTTTTTAAGATTTCCCTCCCTCTTTGTCCCGCACCCTTTCCAAAAAATCTTAGCTCTGAGGAAAACATGCAGATGTTTTTTACATAAGAGGGATGTACTTTCACAGAGTGAAATGATCTTGAAAGATGAAAAATGGAATGCAGCATAGCTTTCAGCTCAGAGGACAGCACAATGACTAAAGCCTAGGACTAGCCAGATCAGTATCTGTACTAGAATGCAGGGAATTGAAGTCCAGATACTTGTGAGATCTTGAACAAATCTGCATGGAAATAGTATGAAGATTTGCTTGTTTCAAGGCAAAAGTCATTATTAAAGGAATAGAATATTATGAGATCACACAGAAAAACAGTGAAAATAGAGTGAAAAACACAGAAAAGTCAGATGAAAGCTCCATCAGAGTTAAAAGAACAAGGACCCCTAATTTGCACCTTTCCTTCACTGAAACTCCAGTGGCAATAAATCTGATCCATTCAGCTGGCATTTCTCCCTATTACCCAAAACATCCCCCAAATTCTGTATTTGATATACAGTGCAGAATACAGATTTTGAACGATTATCTATCTCATTTTTTACTGTAGTAGTATTTACTGAGTATGGTGATATGAATGTATACACAAGAAGGGAAGAAAAACTTCATGGGCTAGCAAATACACTCACAAGAAAATTCTACAGTGAAAGATTCCCAATAACAGCCCCTAACAGAATTTGACTCTTAGCTCATTGTCACAAAAATGGTGAAAATTTCTCTCTTCTACTACTGATATTCCACACATATGTCTTCACACAACTCTCTATACTAAACTGGCTTCACAGCATCTTGCAGTCCCTTCAGTAATCCTTATGAATCTGCCATATGGAACTTGATATTTGGATTACTAAAATTCCCTTATGTGCTGGGTTTGTGCGTGGTGGGTTTTTGGTAGTGGGGGTGGGGGCTACAGAGGGGGTTCCTTTGAGAAGCTTCTTGAAGCTCCCCCCCGGCTCCAAGTCAGACCCACCTCTGACCAGGGCCGAGCCAGTTAGTGACAGTGGCCATGCCTCTGTGATAACACATTTAGGAAGGGGAACCTGAGAGTAGAAGTAGTTGTGAAGGAGACACCTATGCAGGCACAGAAGTCAGCTGAAGAAATAGCAGGGGGAGAAGTGTGTGCCAGAGCAGGGACTGCCCTGCAGCCTGTGGTGAGAGGGCAGGCTGTCCCCCTTGCAGCCCATGGACGTCCACGGTGGAGCAGATGCCCACCTGCAGCCTGTGGAGGACCCCACACCAGAGCAGGTGACTGCACCCAAAGAAGATTGGGACCCTGAGAGAAGCCTGTGCTGGAAGGATTATGCTGCATGGGAGGGACTCACATTGGAGCAGTTCATGAAGAGCTGCAGCCTGTGGGAAGAACCCACGCTGGAGCAGTTCGTGAAGAGCTACAGCCCTGTGGGAAGGACTCACATCAGATAAATTCGCAGAAGACTGTCTCCTGTGAGAGGGACCCCATGCTGAAGCAGGGGAAGAGTGAGAGGAGTCCTCCCCCTGAGGAGCAAGGAGAGGCAGAAGCAATGGGTGATGAACTGACCACAACACCCATCCCCTGTGCCACTGGGAGGGAGGAGGTAGAAAAATTGGAACCAAAGCTGAGCCCAGGAATAAGGGAGGGGTGGGAAGAAGGTGTTTTTAAGGTGTGCTTGTATTTATCACTATCCTACTCCATTTGATTGGTAAATTAAGTGGTGGTAGTGGTGTTCAAATTAAACTGATGTTCTTTTTATTACCCAATCAGGTCTGTCTTTTGCCTGTGACCATAACTGGTGAGTCATCCCTCCCTGTCCTTGTCTCTATCCCTGAGCCTTTTGTTGCCTTTTCTCCAGAGAGGGAATGAGTGAGCAAGCAGCTGTGTGGTGCTGAGTTACTCTCTGGGCTTAAATCACCACAACATGGCTGAAATGTAATTGTTGCATGAAATGTACACAATGAGAAACTCTTCCAGAACACGTAATTCCAACTGTTTTTCTTAACTTTGCAAGAGTCAGAAACACATTCACTGTGAACTATTGCTCAGATCACCAACCACTAATTCCTGCTTATTAACTGCCATGATCTAACAGGAACTAGTCAACCAGGACAGCTCACAATAGTCAGAGGCTTGCTCAAAGCTCACAATAGTCAGAGGCTTGCTGAAGTTTCTTTCAATGTAGCAAGACTACCTGGAAGAACTGCAGTTAATGCTAAGGGCAGCACATGGCTGCTGTGAATGTAGGTGAGCAGTTGCTGATCATCTTGATACAGCTCTTACTGGGAATGAAATTATACTGAATACCTCTCTATATAAAGGGATCTTACAACACATTTGGCTCCCTCTCTTCTATGAGGCTCCTGCCTGACTCTATTCTGAGTTCAAGGACAGGATAAGTATCTTTATATTGGTATCACTTTGCCTGCACAAGACAGTTGGTATCACAGCCCACTGCTCAAAGCTTGCAGCTTTTCAGCAGTATCAGAATGAGCTGTATACGAGTGATTTCTGGCTCAGCTGAGGGACATTTGGCCAACTTAACCACCTTCACTGCTTCAAGCAGTCTTGTCTGCTTACGACAAGTGAGCCAACACTGCCAATCAATTTGGAGACCCCTAAACTGTGCAGATCCATCACCAGAAGAGCTGCAGGGACAGCAACCACCTGAGGAAGTCACAGAAACACAGACCAATGCATTTAAGAACAGTGCAACTTCTCTTTCTAGGTAAGGCATCCAATGTCATTTAAGGAAGAGTCCTGGTTTGTGGGTCAACAATTTTACCTTTGCCATATCACATTCCTGTAACATCATATTCTTTGTTTGCTTTGTTCTATTACTGCCACAAAAAGACCCTGTTTATATGTTTCAGTGCAAAATGGAGGTTAAACTATGATGTTTTCAACAGGCACGCCCTCTCAAACTTCTCCTTTCTAAGAGAGAAACAGTGAAAAGAAAAGCATGCAGTTTTTTCACACACCTCTAAGAAATTGCCCATTAAATAGTTGGCTGTTATCCATCCATACACCCCTTCCTCTGGCCCAGTTATGATTTGCGCACCCCTAAATTCAAAAGGTTGTGCTCTGAAGTAGTTTTGAATGCTTGCAAGGACTTCATTGGCTGCCGTCTCATTTTGCAACCTAAGCAATTCACAAAACATGAGACACTGAGCATCTGGAAAGGCAATTTCATGTTTATTGTTCACTAGCTAGCAATTCAAGAAAACTCCTGCAATCATCTAATAAAAAAAATACATTGTTTCCCTAGAATGGAAGTTTATGATATGGAACAGCCAAGTATCCATCTTCATTTCAGCAAGCAACTTCCCCACTGTGTACAAACTTCACTCTATCATACAAGTTAATAAGTGGGTTTTTTCTTACATACACTTTTTTCTTTAGTGAGTTGAATGCTTATATGACAAGTGCTGGTTAAAACAGTCCTGGAGCCTTTCTTCTCTCTCTGTTTAGCTACAGAACAAACATAAAAAGCCAGTCTGTGTCAGGGCTAAAGCCACAGGCAGTCCCCAAAAGTCACATTACACAATATCCACACTCAGAAAACTCTACAGTTTTAACTAGCTTTAATCTGCCTTTGCTGCCCACTGATATGTATAAACAGTATTTGTTTACATAACACTGAAATTTAAGACAGCTACAGAAGAGAAGATTAAACTCTTGCCTTCTCCAGAATAAAGCAAGCACTTTTTTTTTCAATGTTAGAACAGAGGATTTTTATACAGCCCCGCTTTCCCTATCAAAAAAGTTAATTAATTAAATGGGCTAGGCTCCATTTCCTTTTGAGATGGCCATTTTCCAATGGATAAAAATGCATCCAGTACATTTTTCACATTCTGTTGTCACAGACTGCTATGCTAGTATGCATACAGAAAAGTTAAAGCTTCTGCTGTACCTCAGTAGCCTCATGCCAGCTGTAGCCCCCAGATAAACAGAAGTGTTTTTATGCAGATGAACTGGTATTCTCTCCTTGACTTTATTCAGACAATCATCAAAGGGTTTGGCAAGAGCTCCAGGGTTACTCTCATAGCTGGATATACCAGGGCCTTAAAAGAGAACAAGTAGATTGATTTAATTCTGCTTTGCCAACTGCAAATTAGCTCAATTAGCAAACAGGTGTTCAGAGAAAGAGATTTCCCCCTTCCCTCCTGTAATTGCAAACAAGGATAGGATGGCTGAAAACTACAAGTGCTTAAGGAGTAAACAATGTAGGGACTGTCTCAGCTGTGTGAGACAGAGAAGATATTTGCAAACTGCTCACCTGTACTTCTGTGTGTGTACATATACACCTATCGTACCATACCTAGACTGAGACATACAGTATAACCATATAACAACACCATGACAGCAGTGCTATATTCTTGAGGACAATTGGTTTACTCATGGCAGATGCTGTACAAAATAGCATTTCTAATGGATGTAAAATTTCTCTGATCTGCTAAAGTATAGAAAAACCCTCCTTCCACAACCTAAGATAAAGATTTCCTACTCTGTTTTTGCCACAGCTGTAGTGAACACCATGGCACCTCCACAGCTCACTGCTCGCAACTGAAAATAAAATAAAGAAGCTTCTGCAAGGAATTGTTGGTGCAATTTCAAGACGCATGCAAATGGCTCGTGAAGTCACAGAGGTCCAAGTCTAGGCTGGTGGATGAACTACTAAGTATTTCACAGCTTTCCAAATTTCCAAAGCCGTCAAATAACAGGAATGAGAGTTCCACCATGATGCATAAGGCATAACTACTGGAACAATTAACATTAAAAGTCTTTCTTCACTTGCTCAGCATTCCAAGGACCAGCAGGACCTCAACTTGGGTGTGAATAAAAACATTCCTTACTAAAACTCCCTAGCTGAGGAAGTTGCACAGAGAGAAATACAGGCACTCCCGTGAAGCCATTGCCCCACAGAGAGCAACTCTGCCAGAACTCCATCTAGTTCTCCTGTAACGGCCATCTCTCTCACAGCTTGATCCCAGGCTAAGCAAAAGGTGGCTCTCATCGAGTTAAAATGAGAAATCATTTATGTTCAGCCACATTGCGTTGATAAAAACAGAAGAAACAGACTCCACACTCCACCACTCCCTTTTCCACAGTATGAACTTAAACACTACCGTGTCATCATTAGATGTTCCCAGCCATGGTTTGGAATAAGACTTTCTAGAAGTCTTAAATCTAGCACAGGCAGGTCTGAAGCTGGAAGGAAGACTGTTACCAGAGGAAAACAGCAGCAACTGCTGTTGCCTCACACTCCCTTGGTGGCAGCAACCTCCATCTCCCAGTGGTCAGACAGGGCAGGTCACAAGGCAGTGACCATTTTGTTCTGGACAACTTCCTGCTGCGTGGCTGCTCAGAGCCTGACCAGGACAGATTAACTGCACTGTATAGAAAGGGTTTTGATTTGGGGCTGGCTCCTACACACAGGGGCAGAGGTACCTAATAAAAGGCAGAAAGGAAATCATGAAACCACCACAGAACTTCCAGAGTAGTTGATCATTTGACTTTCAAGTTCAGTGGGCATGTGAAGGTCTGCCTCAGTATGCCCAGAACCATCCCCCAATTTAAGTGCTTAAGGCTACAGTTAGAGGGTCACTAAAGAAACACTGACAGATGTGTTCACCACTGTCCCCCACAGCTTAGCTGGGGACATCTCCCATGAGCCCTCTGTCTCCCCCAGTGCAGAGCCACCCAAGACTGGAGCAGGGAACCCTGCTGATTTTGTAGACTGGAGGATGAGGAGTACTTTGCTTGCCTGTGGTTAAGGCTTCTCTGGACCTGTACAGGTCACAGCAATTTGGACTTTTCCATTTTGCAATTTTTTGTATTCCCTGGACATAAACCAAAATCTAAACCAATTAAAACAGAAGCACAAAGTACTCCTCTGTCATTTTTTTCAAGAAGAATAATGCAGTTTCTCTGTGCATTTTTCTCACACCAGAATTCCTAAAGGCAACATTCCTAATGAGTCAAGACATGAGCTGGCAGAGTGTACCCCCCACCTCTGCAGGCTGGCTGTCATTCCTGCAGTCTGTAAGGACACACTATCAGGCACATGACAGTGCATTACTTCTGCACACATTACACTTGCTTTCCTTACTTCTTGTAAAATTGCTAAGAATGTCCACACGTATATTTAGCACTGAAGATAGAAATGTTGGTGCTGTTAAGAAGCCATTACCTTCTACTCATCTCCTAGTTACTCCTGGGCCTCTATGGCTACATCTCCAGCGTCTATTTCCAGACACAGAGGGATGCAGGATTTTGCATGATCATGGCCGAGAGAGCAGGAAAGGGAAAAATTCTCTTTGAACACCACAGTTATTATCAGAGATCAACAAAATCTGCACAGAGACTTCCTGAGTTGCACCACCTTCTCCTCTTGCCCAACTTGAAAACCAGACCAGTACACTAAACAAAGCAGAACTGCTGAAGGCAGTATCTTATAGGATAATCTCAAGGTCATTTAACTCAGAGTAGCAGAATTTAAGAAGTTTGGCCTCCTGCAAAAATCCCTTATGGACTAGCTAGTTTAATAATGTGAATTTCTCTCCCCTGCCTGGCCACCTGTTTTCATGAAATTTATGGAATTTGGTTATCTTTGAAAGCTTCATCAAATGTCACTGAAGTTTACTAAGAGATTCAGAAGCTGTTATGAAGGAATCCACAACAAGCCATTCGAACACGTATTTAGCCATACCAGAGTATGAGCAAAAGTTAGTCTAGTCTGTGTCCTCTCTCTGAGAGTAATCGATGCAAAACCTCAGTCAAAAGACATGGCAGGCAGCCAGTGGTATTTGTCGTGGGACACCTTCTAGCAGTTCACAACTACAAGTCTTCTTGAGCCAAAGGCCAGACCTGCGTATCTGATCCAACTATGATATCCTGCCAGAAACAGTTCTGCAATTTAGCTGTTTTACTTGACAATTTTATTAGATGCTTCCTAGTTCTGTAGTATGGAGAAGCTCTTCCTGTTCACCTTCTGCATGTTTTTAATAATTTCCCCTCGGTTGCTTTTTTCCCAGTAAATACAGAACAATTCCAGATGAACCGCATAAGCCTTGTTTCTCTAGGAAACCTGGCTAAAACAGCGGAGAGGTTTTTTTTAAACACCACTAAGATTTCTGGAAAATAAAAACTATTTGTCAAACTCCTATAGCATAGCTGACACTCATTTTTGCCTCCATCAGAATCAATGGCTAACATCTAACAAGGGCTAGATCCCCATTCTTCTCAAAGACTTTTTATTCCAAGTTATTTAAAAATATATTTTATGTTTTTCTTTTTAAATAAATTATTTCAGGGCACAAGGACTAAACATGTACAGGGCCTGATGCTCTGTAGATTGAATTCTGCCTGCACCAATCATGCACTTCAATGGAGTAAATCAAGTTTAGCTACAATTTCCTCTCTCTGTTGCAGATTAGAGCACCTTGCTGTATCAGCAGGAGAAGGACTGATGCTGACAGATACAGACATAGTCTTAACAGTTCTTGCTCCCCAGAGCTTAAAAGGGAACGCAGCAGAAAAAAAAAACAGTATAAGCTTCCAGATAACCTCTTCTTGGAGGCTAGAGAGAAATAAGCAACTTCCATTTGAGCTCACCTTTCACATTGCACTTGAAGGTTTGGCTTACTACTCCCGTGTCATTTTCTTTTTCTGCTGGCCATTCATAGACATAGACTGTCGTTCGAGAGGATCCAGCATCGAGGACTATTCCATACTGGGAAGAAAAAAAGTAATACACTAGGATCAAGAAACAAACAGTAACAGCTTAAAGGCCCATATGCAGCTGTACTTCTTTTCACTATCAAACATTTTAGAAAATGGTGGCACAGTATATTTACAAGAGAGATTAATTGTAGTCTTAAGCGCTTAGGCATGAATCCAACCGCCAAGCACAGAATGAATTTGGCTGAAAAACAAAGAACATACTACGTATCTTCAGTAATTAATTCCATGGGGATGAAGAATGCTCATCTCCATTCAGCATCAAGTTCAAAATCCACACTGATACACAGATAACACTGTGTTAGGACCTGATTTTGCAGCAAACTCATTTCCCATTATCCCAGCTACACTCCCTGGACACTGAAGGGTTTGATACCTAAGCACAGGCTTTAGATTCAAGGATGCACAAGGGATTCATAAAACTACGAGCAAAGAGGTAAAGTACATAAGAGTGCACAGTGAAAATGATCTAACAAGTCAGGTTCTTTTCTAATTCCCCTGTAAACCTCTCCCTTTAAGTGGTTTAGGCAGTCCACCTGAGAGTTTGCCACTGAAAACAGGCTGTGCCAGTGTGAGACAGCAAAGAGGTAAAGAGAATCAATATTACCCTATGTTTATTTATGAAATAAATGAGAAATATTTAAGTGACTTGCCCCAGGTCAACTGGACTCTGTGGGATTAAAGCACAGGTTTCTCCATCCAGTTCCACTGCTCACCAGACCAGTCTTTCCCCCTTTCCCATCTTTTATGGTAGCAGAAAACTGTAGCAACTGGGAAGGCAAACTGCATAAAGGGAAGAAAACTGCAATTCTGCTTATTCTCTTTATGACCCACAAAAGTACATTTAGCTGCCCCCTCACCTTCCAAAGTAATCTAATTGGCAGGAATCACACAGCGTAGGGTTCATTTGTCTGTCAACCTTTTTTCTTTTAAAAAAGGCAGATGCCCAGGAGCCTGACAATACTGAAAAAATTAGAGCCTCCATCTGGCTGCAAGCAGTAAGAGCCCCTGCAGCAGCCAGATAAATTTCATCCCACTGCCTCCCTGTGGAGCCTCAAGTCTGACCAAGAAAGATCACTGCTTCAGGTGGTAAACCATTCAGCTTCCACACCTCATTAGTTCCCAGCTTCCACTGTAATCCTACAAACCCCTGGCCCCCAAAGAACTACCAGTCTAGTCTGTTTCCTAGAGGACTATTAGGTACCAAGAATTTCATTTATATTTATTCAGACGATATTTACCCTGATCAACTAAAAAGGTGAAAGGCTCCACAGATACTATCAAACCACTATGCCATCAGGTTCTATTCAAGTAACTCCTTTAGCAAAGATACTGTGAGTGTATTCCCCCTCCTTGAAAGAGAGATGAGCACTCTGGAGACACATAATACAGTAACGGTCAATCTGCTCAAGGGCTATTAATTGAATCTAGTCCCAGTCAGCTCAAAGTGCCAACCATAAGCTTTTAACTTAGCTACTTTTAGAGCTAACTATCATGCCCAAGTAGAGCTGGAAGATAATGGGAGGATTTTTACCTCAGCTAACTGCGGGGTTTTTTGACCCACTTCCATCCTCCCCTGCATTTCCCAGCCTCCTTCCTGAAAGTAATACGATTTCCATCCCAAAGAGTAGTGGTACATTTGTCTGAACCAATGTGTGACTGACAATTTTATTTTCTTCCTCCTCCTATGTTTCCTATACAGCCTCTGGTTTCCTTTAAGAGAGATGCTCATTTTTGAGAAGGACTCTTGGGCCCATTTCAGGGTGACTCTTGAAGCTCCTCGGAACTTGTGCGAGTTTACTCTGTGTGAACTGGCCCATGCAGCCTCATGAAGTGGCGATCAGATGGAAGTATGCCAGATGTCAGGACTAAGATTATTCTTTAATTAAAAAAACAGAAATGACAGAGGATGTGGCATTTTAAGAGGGTGACAGAATTCTACATATGCCTTATCTCAGCCTGCTGCCTAAGACAAACTGGTTGAGTTAAAATTCTCCAGTGACATTACATTTCTGTCCAAGTTGCAAGTCAGATCACCTCTGCCTGCCCTTTATAAGGACCAGCAATGCCCTCCTGCTTTGAAATGCACTGTGTGGGACTGAGAGCACAGGCAAACTCTTATCCTGGGCTAGCAGCTATTAAAGAACAGAGCAATTTTTCTCCCTCCTTTTCCCTCTACTTCAGCTTCATCACTGAGGATTTCCAACATCTCTACTCAAATACCAGTGGACAGAGATAAAGGCCTGGTGATTCCCTAATACCCCAGAAGTGCAGCATCGAATCAATGGACTAGATTTGTCACAAGACAGGGAGACAACATTAACCCAGAAAAGTTTCAGAATTCCAGTTTCTAATTCAGAGGGAGGGAGGGAGGGAGGGAGGGAGGGACGGAGGGAGGGAGGGAGGAAGGGAGGAAGGCAGGAAGGGAGGAAGGCAGGAAGGAAGGCAGGAAGGCAGGAAGGAAGGCAGGAAGGAAGGCAGGCAGGAAGGAAGGCAGGCAGGCAGGAAGGAAGGCAGGAAGGAAGGCAGGAAGGCAGGAAGGAAGGCAGGAAGGAAGGCAGGAAGGAAGGCAGGAAGGAAGGCAGGAAGGAAGGCAGGAAGGCAGGAAGGCAGGAAGGCAGGAAGGCAGGAAGGCAGGAAGGCAGGAAGGCAGGAAGGAAGGAAGGAAGGAAGGAAGGAAGGAAGGAAGGAAGGAAGGAAGGAAGGAAGGAAGGAAGGAAGGAAGGAAGGAAGGAAGGAAGGAAGGAAGGAAGGAAGGAAGGAAGGAAGGAAGGAAGGAAGGAAGGAAGGAAGGAAGGAAGGAAGGAAGGAAGGAAGGAAGGAAGGAAGGAAAAAAGTGACTTCAAGGAAAATGCCTAGTTTTGAGTTTCCTTTGCCCAGTGTACCACCAACACAGAGGTGACCATGCTGCCTACAGCATGAAGTAAATGTACCACTTTGCTTCTTGGGTCTGACAGAGTACTATGACTGCTGTACACACTTAGTAGAAACAAAATAGAAAGCAAGGTAACAATAAACCAGACTTTGTGTCTCTAAGAGTGCACTCATACATTTTTTTTGGCTGCAACTGGACTGACTAAAGAGACAATTACCCCCTCACCTATCAACTGCTTGTGCTTCCCTCGCAAGAAGGTACCTCTTGCTCACACAGCTCCCTGTGTTAGTGACAACCACCTATTCTGTTTCAGAGGCAGTTTCATGCTGTTCACTCAGCAAATCTACTGGTGGTCCAAACGGATAAGGGATATTCATAGGAATGGCTTTGAAAGTACATCCCAAAGAGTAGTAATCCCAACAGGGAAAGAACAAACTCCAGAATTAATCACCTTTTCAGCCTGAATACCATTCCCACTGGAGGAAGTACAGATGCACAAACCCTCAAAGCAGGCACAGTTATGACAGCTCACCTGCCTTCCAATCACTGTGGAAAACTGTCACAAGAAGTTACCGAGCTAAACCAGTTACAGGGAAGGTGGAGGCCACAAACGTGGATCCACAATAGAAGTGCACTTCAGCTACATAGGTCTGAACTACTTTTAATCAAGTATAACATCCACAGACAAGGCAAAACACTTTCTAGGAGCCAAAAGAGACATGCAAAAGTTAGGTGTACAGAAAACTGTAGCACCTGGAGAGGCAAATGAAAGAAACACAATAATGAAGGAAGGTTTTTTTCTCTTTAGAGCTCACAAAACATCAGCAGACAAACAGAATTTTTTTTTGACTGGTTCAAAGGCTCATTACATTTAGAGCTAGCATCATCTACAATTCTGGACTTCTTCACAAAGTATGTCACTAAGGATCTCTGTGCTGTCTTCATCACTCTCCTGACTTCATGCTGTGTGCCAATGAGTCATGAGTTCTTTCAGTGCCTCAGCATCATGCACAAGGGCAGGTCCTTCCTTCACAAATTATTGGCTGAGTCTTCAGATAACCCAACAACCAAAGAACCAAAATATTAATTTTGCAACACTTTAAAACATCAGTGGTGTAGCAGATAATTTATTGCCTGCGCCACAGAGGAATGAACCTGGACACTCTCAACGTGCATCCTGGGAAAGAGCTATTATGCCACAGATCACACAAACTCTGGTTATCCTTCAGTAGCTGTTTTGGTTTCATGGACAAGAGCCAGAAGAAGATGGCCATTTACACAGTGTAAGTCTGTTTTTATCCTGTTACTGCCATATTTAATTTTAATCAACCGCTAACTTCAGGACACTGCCATTTCCGGGCTCCATCCTATCAACTAAGTACTGGAGGGTTTCACACGGGCATACCAAGGTCCTCCCTCTCCTCCTGAAGAATCACTTCTTATGGAGGTTAATCATTCACCGAAGCCTACTCGGCGTCTCAGGAATCAAACACAAGATCCTCCATATCAACTGGGATTTTCTGCATTGGCAGGCTTACAGCCCAAAAAGAAATCCAAGGCCAAGCACCTACCAGAGGAACCGCCAGTCTTCCTCCAGAACCATCCATGAAGCTGCTGTGATTCCAGGAGCAGACCTCCCCACCTTAACCAGCTCCAGACAGTCAAGGCCAGTCCAATGCTTGCTCAAAGCGTAAGGCAGACAATTCTATTATTCTGAATGTGAAGCTGAATTAATGACAAACACAAGTGATGTGTAGGCTCTCTCTTAGTGGCTTCAGCCTACATATCAGTCCAGTCTTGCCTTGAGTGAAAATTGGCAGGATGTAAGGCTGCTGCAAGCAGAGATTTGAGGCACAAAGGCAAGTAAACTTGAGGCACTGTGTCCCCATGCAAGATCCCAGTGCACACACTGTGTCACACCATACAAACATAAAACTCTTGTCAGAATACAGTTTTACCCCGTTGTCTGACTCATACACCACCAAATGATTCCGACAAAGTTAAAGGTGTCTATAATCCCTTCAAATGTAATGAGACATTAGCGCGTTGCTATCAGTATGTGAACTATCCAGTTAAATACATATGCAGAGGGAAGGGTAGAAAGGACTTCAAAGAAGGCTCTGACATGGTTTATATACCCTTGTAGTTATCATGGGAACTCAGAAGGCCAGACTGCACAGCTTCTCTAGAAGGCTAATTTCTACAGCTTTGTCCTCAGCTGTGTAGATCTCTTATTGAAGAACCTGCACATACTCCATGAACACAAGGCAAAGCCTGAATTCCAGAGTATTCCAGCTTGTCTTTTCCAGTTTGCTCTGCCCTTCCTCATGAAGGGTTTGCTCATGCCCTTCCTCCTACTTTGCTTCTGTTAATATCCAGCAAGTTCCAACATGTGGTAAATCATAAAGTGCACATTTACAACCCAAATTCTTTTGATACACAGGAGCAGTTTGCGAAGATTTCAGCATAAACTTCCTAGCTGTGCTTGGAGGCAGAATTTAAACTTGTTATTTCCCGCTGCAAAATTATTTTAAAATTACTTCTGATCTCTGGCAAAAATAAAAAAAGCAGTGATGTATTCTCCTTGTTTGGCCTTTCAGTCTTGGAGAAGACATTGTGTGACAGGCATCACAGACAGGCAATCAAGGAATGCTTTTCCTGCTTTGCCACCGACTCTATGATCTTGACCAATTCTCTTTTTCTTTCAGCTTCAGTTCTTCCATGATGAAGATGTGATTAAACATTAACTTATGGCTGTAAACTCATTTGATTCACCCCATAAAAATTAGTTTAGAAAGGAACATTATTAAATATCCATTCAAAACACTGTTCTCCTTCCTTAGGTATTCTTAGACTTACCTTAAGCCCTGGGGAGAGGATCTGTTGCTGATTTATCTGAATCACTGCAATAGCAATTACAAGAACTATGCTTAGAAGAAGGAACACTTGGGCAACAACACTTGGGGTTGTGGAGAGCATCCTGAAACAACAAAAAGGGAAACACTTAAGGAATGTGAAAGGATTCACCGATTCTGTCTTAAGGCCTGAAGCCCTGAATATCAGTTGAAACTCCTCATAAAATCTCATTGCGTCAACTAGATTACGCTACATGAAAATTCTGTGTTCTTCTCAAGAACTGTCTGATGTTTTGCTACCACCAACTTTTTATTGTCTAGAAGGGGTGTGTCTGTATTGTCATGGTAATGATGCCCAATTTCACCCTCAGGTGCAGTCGGCTCATTTCCCACAGTGCCTACATGTAGATGCACGCTCACCATCTCCCATTGCCTCAAGAAATGAGAGCAACGGGCAGGCCAGGGCTAGTGCACTCAACCATCCCACGTCCACCTACAGCACAGACACAACCACAGCCATGAGTTCAGCTGGGTTTTTGTGTCACAGAGATGCAAGGCTGGTTCTATAGTATACAGGCTGCTTCAGCAGGAAACAAAGGAGCTTTTAAGAACATTGAAGTAGGCATCTTTCTTCTAACTGCTGATGCGTTTATGAAGTATGTCTGTTTGCATATTAATGCAGCCCCTATTATCACTCTGCACTACACATAAAATATAAAATACTCAGTATAACTCACAGATCTTGCAATGAAAAGTTCCTAAATCTAAGTAAATCTAACATGTTGATACAGCAGACAAACCCAAAGGTGACATGAAACACATACTTGACGATAAGGCTGTTTATATGTTCATATCCTCTAGAAAGGATTTCTAGAATTCAAATGTGTTTTAGGTTTTCTGTAATTTCTGTTCATCCTTTATTTTTGCATGGCCCTGGCCAGACAGCCCTTCACCCCAAAAGGCCTCTCAGTACATCTGAGTACTGACAATCAAAAATTCTTATACTCCACAGGGTTTGAGGAGGAAAGAGGTGGCTGGTGGGAGATGGGGAGCTTAAGAAATAAGTGTCAGAGGAACACAAACAGGAGAACTTTCTTGCCTTTCTTATTTTCAGAAACCAGTTATTTTGGCATAGAAATATCAAGCTAGCCTGGTCTTCTCCTTAGCTCCAAGCAGAGCCAAAGGGCTGAGGGAGAAGGCAGAACAAATGCTTCTTCACACAGTTTCCATATTCTAAACCCCATCGGTTCTTCAGCCCGTGTACCCATGGTCCAATATCTATGTTCACATTCAACAGAGAAGCAAGTTATTTGTTTTGTTCTGGGACTAGCTTCACTCCGAGCTTTGCCCAATGCTGCTGCTTTCCTTCTTTGTCTTCTGATTTTTGTTGTGAAATCTAATTCAGATTGGCTTTTGGAAACTTCATTTCAGCCTGACACATCTCACTACCAGAATGTCATTTTTTACACTCACTAACCCATCTTTCTAAATCCATATGGGCTCCTTGTTTATGGGCTCCTGCTAATCTACTCCTCCAATACTCTTTTTTCTTGGCTTGGTAATAGCTTTATTATCTTAATGATCAGCCAGTTTTAAGAGAAAATTACCAGCTACATTGATGATTTTTTTACTGTTGTCTGTTGCTTTACTATCCTAAGGCATTTACACATCATGTACACAATGCATAAATGATAGAATGAAATCTTATTTTTACTATTAGAAAATAAGTTAACACCTAGGATGAGTTCTTACTGTAACTTGCAGATAATGTCAGGGCGTACTAATTAGAAGCATTTATACAGATCAATTATTTTTTTTAAGAGAGACAGCAGATTTTAATTCTACATTTATGAATAACCATATGGATAAAATACTTGTCTTTAGGGGAGAAAAAAAATCTTTATCTTTCAACTGTACACAGCATTACCTATAACTGTAAAATGACCGAAAGAAACCTGCTTACAACCTGATATATATCAGTCACTCTTGGATCAAGGCACTGATGTTCAGTGCTGGAAAAAATAAGCCATTATTAAAGAAAAAAACACTTGGGGCCAACGACTCTCTGAAAAACTAAAGCGTTACTGCAGAGCAAAGCAATAACCACTATTATACTATTAACACTTAAGAACACTGATGATGACTGCTGAAATATTTTCTGCTGCATCCGTTTGTAAAGTAGAAATTGAAATCTTGGCTTGTGGAATTTCTCGTGTTTCCCTGGTACTAGGATTTGTCTCCATCAGAGATTATTTCTCTTTTCAAAAATCTTTTTTGACAGGGAGCATATTAGGTAAGAGAGCATCTCTCAAGACACTCCTCATACAATCTTGATCCACTGGCAATAAGGACAATTTCATCAGAGAATAATCTGTAAATCCTGATGTAAGCAACAGCCTCTGTGTCAGAAAGACACCTTACACTCCACACCTGCACGAAGCCATCACGCAGTTGACATCTTCACTACCTGAACTGTGCAACATGCTACAAGATTTCACATAACTGGATCAGAAGCACAGGGCTGTATTTACTGTTAGTGACACTCATCTAAGTCTGACACACATGCCAGGCAATAGTCATACTTGCCCATTCACTGAAATCTGTTGAGACACCAGAGAGGAATTCATTCACTCCACTGTTTAAACAGAGTTGTAACGGAAGTAAGTCTTGCTAACACTGCACACTTGTTGGCAAAAAGCCCAGTAAAAGATTTTAACGAACTATCAAAAATTAGTTGCATTCCATTATTAAAACAACATCATCCTGAAGCAAGAGACAGCATTAAATACGTATTTTCCACATCCAATTAAGTACACTGGGTCACACGGGAGCATTTTGGAAAGATCACCTTCCACACCTTATTTCAAGCAAAAGGAATTCCTATCTGCAAAGGCAAATGGACTAAACTTCGTGCCACCAACATTTTGAGTTTAACTAGGTTAAATACACAAATGTACGAATGACAGTGCATCTTATACGTCAAAATTCCTTTTCCCAAGTTTATTGAACCATCAAACCCACTTATTTTAGGTACTGACCTGTTTGTTCATAGGGTGGGCAGGCAAGCACCATAAATACCTTTCTTCACACTACAACCGGAGAGATACAAACACATTTATTTCAGAAGTGGTCTGCTGGTGAATGTTTTTTCAAATGCGGAAAAAAACACAAAACAAAACAAAAACCCAGCACCCCCTGCATTTTAAAACCCGCAATGAAAACCTGCGAGGAGGTTTCACAGGCCTTCCTTCGGAGAAATGAAGTAAAAACGAGCACGTGGACCCGAAATTAGCGGGCTGAACCTCAGCGCCTTCCCTCAGCTCACCGTCGTGCCGGGTGATGAAAGCATCGCCCAGCGACCGCTGATTTGCGAGAAAGCACGAAGGTTTTCCCCTCAAAAAACCGGCGGAGAGAGCCGGCGAGCGACGCCCGCCCCCTCAGCGCCGCGGGGCGGGAAGCGGCCCCTCAGCCCCCGCTCCCGCCCCGGGCCCCCGCCCGCCTCCCCCCCGCGCCCCGCCGGCCCAGCCCGCCGCTCTGGGCCGCGGCCTCGGCCCCGGAGGAGAGGGGCGAACCCTCGGAGCGGGGAGGCGGCGGCTGCCAGCGCCTCCTCTCGCCCCGCAGCGGGGGTTTACACAGAATCGCTCGGTGGTTGCTCACCCTCCGCTCCCCTATTCCCAAATATTAAAAAAAAAAAAATAAAATAAATACAACCAACCAACTTGCAGGTAGAAAATCCGGGTGAATTCATTCAAGCGGAGGAAGGAGATCTGCGGCCGTTACCGCCGCCGGGGCCGCGGAGGCGGTGCGGGGCGGCTGTGCCGCCGGCGGCGGGCAGCGGGGCCCGGGGTGCAGCGCCCTCCGGTCAGCCCGGCCGGTGCGGGACAGCCTCCAGCGGGGGGGGGGGGGGGACTCCCACACACCCCCCGACCATCCGCCTTCCCAAACCTGCCGCAACGCGGCCCCCTCTCCCGCCTCTCCCGCCTCTCCCGCCGCCCATCAGCGGCTCTCCTCCTCCCGGAAACGCGGAGCCGGCTCTGCCCGCCGCTGGTGCAGCTGCCCCTCGGTCACGTCCCCCGGTTCCCTCCCAGAGCGAAGGCAGGAAGGGGGTTTTGCCCGGAGGTGCCGCTGCGGCTGAGGGAATGGCGCATCCCTGCCTCTCCGGAACAAGCGCTTTCTCAGGAGGGCTTTTCCCAGCCCTCGGAAATTAGTAGCCCGTCCCCGGTCTCAGGGCTGCCTTTTCCAATCCAGTTCAAGCGTCCTGGCACCACACGCGCTGCGGTCTTGCCGGGGTTCTTGCCGAAGCCGGACTGCTAAGTGGAGATCGCACATTCCCCACAACACGCGTAAAAGCAAGTACGACCGAGATCCCGCTCCCATCACCGGCCTGACCTGCGTGAGCAGCTGCAGCCAGGGATCACCCCGCAGCCTGCAGGAGGGGGTTGCCTGGATGAGCTCTGGGATCATGGTGAGGCACTTCAACCACTTTGCCACCATTTGCTTATCGCTCTAGGATTCCGATTCACATCATGTCAAAAACTAAGTGCACCTCTCTGGTTTCTTTTCTCATAATAATCTTGCTGAATTACAGTATCTTTGACCTTTGAATAAAGAAAGGAGAAAAGGAACCTGCTGCAGCCTTCTAAGCATATAAGCATCCTTCCATGGTCTACTCATTTTGGAAAAGGAGGTAATCTCCTCTTTTTGATGACAATACATTATTAAAGCTGGTTTAATGATGAACTTGGTGGATCAGTTCACCTCTTTCTAGCATGTGACGACAAAGCCTCCCATCCCTCCTGATTCCCTGTCTGTTGCATGCAGCTCCTTTCTTCTGTATCACTCCCATTCCTGTGACATCTTTTTCTCCTTCCATCCAAGTGGATTTAGTTTAATGCACGTAGTCCAACTGATTGTATTGGTCTGCTCTGCTGGGGGAGAATCTGTCTCAGATGTTCAGTTAAAATGACAAGTGAGCTGGGTTGCTAACCCCACAGAAAAGCATATTGATTTTTCTACCATCAAACAAACATTATGAAATAAATAATGAAACATTGACACCCACTTCAACCAGTCTTACAACTAACCTCCACCAGTGACTAAAATTTAATGCGTGCAGAGAAAGCAAACCCTACCTTCTATATTATCTACTTCAATAAAAACAGACATAAGAGATTCTTTTTCTTTCTGCACCATTTCCAAGAGCTGGGCAGTTGCACAGACTGCTTTTCTTGTGACATTTATTGCCATGCTAGAGCCATAATAGCAGCATAAGTGATATGGGCTATCAAATCCCCCATCTGCTTTCGAAGTCCAGAACGCTGGTCCTGAATCAAATGGACTAGAAACAAGATTCCACTACAGGCCTGTCCAGTGTCTGTGGCACGGTAACTGGCTCCATCCGTTCCTCTGCTTCAATGCTGGTGGCCCATCTTAGATCCACTACTTCTTTTTTTCTTAAACCTACCTCTTTGACTTTTCTTTTGTTTCTTCCTCAGCCCTATCCTCCCTTCTGTAGTTCCCTTCACCTGATCCTTCATCCCTTCCTCACTCCCAAGGGGTAGATTGCTGCCATTTTCACAGCCTTCTGCAAGCCTGTAGCATGCATAGCTCTCCTCTCAATCATTTCCTTTGCTACAACACCTTTTTCTTCTCCCCCTGCAAGTATCCTTGTTTGAATGCATTTAGCGTAACTAACGGTATTGATTTGTTTTGCTTGGACATAATCTGCCCCAGGTGTCCATTTAAAAATGACAAATGAGCTAGATTGCTGACAGCCCAAAGGAAAAATTTATTGCTTTTCCTACCATTGAGCACGCATATGTGAAGTTAAGAGACGATGACTGATATTGGCAGATTCATACCTGAATACCAGTTGTTATGATCAATAGCAAATCTCTAGAAACTAGAAAATATTATGGACATGAATAAAGTGTTTGCTATAGACACAATTCTGCAATGCATTTATGGCATCACATTTACACAGGCTATACAGCAGATACTGCTCCATTTCCCTGTACAGTGACAGCAGCCACATCAGGAGAGGGGATGGATGATTATACATCTCAAGAGACCACAGAACTGCAGCTGCAACTTGTGTAATGGTCATACAACATTTGATGCTGGAATATTAAGAGGCCTCAAAATATCCTCTGAAGAGAGAGCAATAGGCTGAAGTGGAGAGAAATGTTAATGTAAAACTGGAGGTAGGAAGATATTAGTGGCTGCAATAAGATGAGTCTGGTTTCTTGCATGATATTTTGCAAGAGGGGAGATCTTTTCACTCTTTACAACTACCTGAAAGGAGGTTGTAGCAAGGTGGGTGTCGGTCTCTTCCCCCCAGTAACAAGCATTAGGGCAAAAGGAAATAGCCTCAAGTTGCACCAGGGGAGGTTCAGATTGGATATTATGAAAAATTTCTACACAGAAAGGTTTGTCAAGCACTGGAACAGGCTGCCCAGGGAAGTGGTTGAGTCACCATCCCTGGAGATACTTAAGAGACGTGTAGATGTGGCACTTAGGGACATGGTTTAGTGGTGGACTTGGCAGGCAGTGTTAGGATTGCAGTTGGACTTGATGATCTGAAGGATCTTTTCCAACCTAAATGATTCAGTGATTATAGCAGCATACCTTGTTAATTGCCAAATTTAGGAAGATAGCTCCCTAGGTTTTCAAGCAAGAAGTCACAAATCACATCTGAAATCTCCATTTTGAAGAATACCAGATGTGATTCTCCTCAGAGATCAAGAATGCAGTTGCTTGTTTCTTTTACACAGTAGCAAAACTCATTTGTAATAAACTTTAAAAGCAACTGCTGTCCTATAGTTTTCTATCATCACTGACAAAAAAAAAAAAAACAAACAAAACATAAAGCAAATTCACAGCTATGGCGTGAGAAATTCAGTTTGTCCTTCTGTTTTGAATAATGGCTGGATATGGACATTGCCTTTTCTCTTGCGGAGTTTTGCTGATAGCTTACTCAAAACACCTTAGACAGCTACTTGTTGGTTTATGTTTTTATTCCCTTACTGCAGCACTAAAGCTAATAATGTGTCTTACATTCAGCTTCTGAATCGTCTGTCTCATACAGATGACTCTGTGGTAATAACAGTTTTCTGCTCCACATCTTCTTGTGAGGTCTTGAAACAAATAAGAATTTAATTCTGAAGATGAACCAAAATACTTTCTAATCTATTTCCCTTCCTGACACTTAAAGCTTTATACCTCACATCTCATGTCCAAAGAATCAAGAGGTGGATTAATTACTTAAAAACCCTCAGGGACAGCCTTGATCCCATGGTTATGAGCCAGGACAGGCTGTAGGCACAGGCAAAATAAGCACGTAATTAGGGCAGCAGATTGCTGGGACAGCAGAAAAGAACAGCCCTTTGTCTATTTTGCTACGCTCAAGTTTTAGAAAGCCAAACTAGCTGCTGCAGCAGGAGAGGGTGTGGGCCAGCCATGCTACGCTGCTGGAAGGAGAGGAACTCTCCCGGAGTACCAGTGACTGCTCCCATCCTTCTCGCTCCCTGCCCTCAAGCTGCAAGTCAAGCTCACAGAGCTTTACAGTAAACTCGTTGCATTTTTTTAGCCATGCCCACAAACATACGTTATGCCTTGACACATATATATTCCATTGCAATAAAGTGACCACAGGAATCTGATACAGAAATACCATACTCTTAGAAGAAATCCACTGCTGTACTCAAAGAAATGCACCATCTCCAGTGGATGGGGGTAAATTCCAGAAACTCCTCCTTGATGCTTAATCTTTTAAAAATTGCTGTGTGAAAAACTGCTCAACATGGAATATTTCTGTGAGCCTGCCAACCCTAGATGAATAATGTTTCACTTTTCTTAGTTCAGAAGTAATTGCTGACAATTTGATAGTTCAGGAGAAGAGATTCATCCCCTATGTTTTCAAAGAAGTATGAAGAATTCCTTGTAGCAACATTGCTATCGCCTTTTTGTGCTCTTCCAGGAGTGAATCAAATTGAATAACTCTAAAATTCCTAGATAAAATCCTTTCTGTGGATGCACAAAGTTCTATTACAACCCTTTCCAAGTCCACCTGCCAGTATTGTTATTCACTGTTGCATTGCTCCACTGACTCTGAGTCAATGTAACAAGTAATTTTTATCGGTTTCTATGCACTAACATTAAACTACAATTGTTTGGGATTGTTCATAGGCTCAGAAATGCAATTATAGTCATTAAAGTCCATTGTACAGAACAAGAAGCCCGTAGGAGAAAAGCACACGAAGGAGTAGAATGATCCCTGCAATAGTGATCATAACAACCATTTCTAATTTTCAGACTCACGCTTATGTAGTTCCTGCTTGAAAACAGCTTGCACTAAATAGCTTGTTTGTTCACCAACTGAATGAATATTGAGAGACTTATTAAAATCATAATTTTGATTCTGACAGATTGAAAAGCCTTTCTTATCCAGTATGGAAGAAAAGAACTTCTTGCTAACTGGAGTGCAATACTAGGTCTGGTGGAGGGCACGAGGTGCATGTTGATTGGGATGTTCCTACAATCTTCACTGTGTTTCATTAACTTCATTCACCTTTGCAGTCACAAGTACAGTACCATCTCTCCAGTTCATGACAGTAATGGTAAATAATACACCTGATGTGAAAAAAAAAATCATCCAGTTTTGGTATATCTGTGATTTTTACTTTTGTTCATTCCTTTTATCTCCATTTTGGTGCTCTGAATATTTATGACCTGCATAAGAACATATCCCACACACTGTTTTAGCATTGGCTGGTGAGTTTATGAACCCTCTCAAGGCAGCGCCTCTGGCTTAAGTGAGGCAGGTTTGTGCCTCGAGTCAGCCCTGGGTGTAAGTATGAGTGCCAAAGACAGTATAAAATCTGAGCAACAGAGATCCTGCCTGCAGCTGGAGCCTGTTATGTCAGTCCTAAGCAGCAGGCCCTGTCACCCATAGGATTCATTGT